GAAAATAGCCTACTATGATCAAAACCAAAAATGCTTTAAATTGCATTTTAAAACATATCTGGGTATTATAAATGATAAAAAATGCTAATATAGATATAAAATCGATATTTTTTTGAAAATAGCCTACTATGATCAAAACCAAAAATGCTTTAAATTGCATTTTAAAACATATCTAGGTATAATAAATGATAAAGAATGCTAATATAGATATAAAATCGATATTTTTTTGAAAATAGCCTACTATGGTCAAAACCAAAAATGCTTTAAATTGCATTTCAAAACATATCTGGGTATTATAAATGATAAAGAATGCTAAAAAAGATATAAAATCGATATTTTTTTGAAAATAGCCTACTATGATCAAAACCAAAAATGCTTTAAATTGCTTTTTAAAACATATCTAGGTTTAATAAATGATAAAAAATGCTAATATAGATATAAAATCAATATTTTTTTTGAAAATAGCCTACTATGATCAAAACCAAAAATGCTTTAAATTGCATTTGAAAACATATCTAGGTATTATAAATGATAAAAAATGCTAATATAGATATAAAATCAATTTTTTTTTTTGAAAAAAGCCTACTATGATCAAAACCAAAAATGCTTTAAATTGCATTTTAAAACATATCTAGGTTTAATAAATGATAAAAAATGCTAATATAGATATAAAATCGATATTTTTTTGAAAAAAACCTACTATGATTGAAACCAAAAATGCTTTTAATTGCATTTGAAAACATATCTAGGTATAATAAATGATAAATAATGCTAATATAAATATAAAATCGATATTTTTTTGAAAATAGCCTACTATGATCAAAACCAAAAATGCTTTAAATTGCATTTCAAAACATATCTGGGTATTATAAATGATAAAGAAATCTAATATAAATATAAAATCGATATTTTTTTGAAAATAGCCTACTCTGATCAAAATCAAAAATGCTTTAAATTGCATTTGAAAACATATCTGGGTATTATAAATGATAAAGAATGCTAATATAGATATAAAATCGATATTTTTTTGAAAAAAACCTACTATGATTGAAACCAAAAATGCTTTTAATTGCATTTGAAAACATATCTAGGTATAATAAATGATAAATAATGCTAATATAAATATAAAATCGATATTTTTTTGAAAATAGCCTACTATGATTGAAACCAAAAATGCTTTAAATTGCATTTGAAAACATATCTAGGTATAATAAATGATAAAGAATGCTAATATAAATATAAAATCGATATTTTTTTGAAAATAGCCTACTATGATCAAAACTAAAAATGCTTTAAATTGCATTTTAAAACATATCTAGGTATAATAAATGATAAAGAATGCTAATATAGATATAAAATCGATATTTTTTTGAAAATAGCCTACTATGATCAAAACCAAAAATGCTTTAAATTGCATTTCAAAACATATCTGGGTATTATAAATGATAAAAAATGCTAATATAGATATAAAATCAATATTTTTTTTGAAAATAGCCTACTATGATCAAAACCAAAAATGCTTTAAATTGCATTTCAAGACATATCTGGGTATTATAAATGATAAAAAATGCTAATATAGATATAAAATCAATATTTTTTTTGAAAATAGCCTACTATGATTGAAACCAAAAATGCTTTAAATTGCATTTTAAAACATATCTAGGTGTAATAAATGATAAAAAATGCTAATATAAATATAAAATTGATATTTTTTGAAAATAGCCTACTATGATTGAAACCAAAAATGCTTTAAATTGCATTTTAAAACATATCTGGGTATTATAAATGATAAAAAATGCTAAAATAGATATAAAATCAATATTTTTTTTGAAAATAGCCTACTATGATCAAAACCAAAAATGCTTTAAATTGCATTTCAAAACATATCTGGGTATTATAAATGATAAAGAATGCTAATATAGATATAAAATCGATATTTTTTTGAAAAAAGCCTTCTATGATCAAAACCAAAAATGCTTTTAATTGCATTTTAAAACATATCTAGGTATAATAAATGATAAAGAATGCTAATATAGATATAAAAGTCTTCATCGATCAGCTGTGCTATCGCTCATCTTTTCATTAATGGTGTATATTTGGAAAGCTTAAATTTAGTATAAATGCGCCCACGTTTTAAGATGTAGAACTATACGATATGGTCGAAGTGAAAAAATTTGCAATTCATTTATGGTCATGACTTTAGTATGAAACTTTCAAATCAATCTCAATTTTTCAAACCAATGTCCTTTGAACCCAATAAAAAAGTTATTCTCTACTTTTTAGTCCACGGGTAAAAACGTGGTTTTTTTAAAAAAAATTTTATAAAGTATTTTTTCTTTTTTCATTGCTTTTTTTTCGCAAAAAGCATCACATTTGCACACTACAGTGTCTATAATTGTTAAACAATCAAATGTTCATGTACTCTTCATCGTATGTATATGATTGGAATGTTTATGAAACCTTTTGAAAATTGTTTTGAACGCACAGAGCTGACAATCAGCAAAATTATCATTCAAGTCTCGCTCACGTTCACCCGATATTCAGGTAGTTGCATCATTGATGATTTTATGTTTTTGTTTTTTCTATTATAACTATTCTGAATGAATGGAGTTTTTAGCGCAATATCTGAATTTTTTGTATGATTGCTGATTGTTTATACTTTGTCTTGACGTTGTGCTAACCAATTGAAATCTTATAAGAAATTCATAGAAAGACTGAATAAAAGGGGCATGCAATTACGTAACAATGCATGAAATTCAAATTAAAAGTAACCGTTATATCAGAAAATGCTTCTTTCACGTCATATCTTCTAGCTCAACGATTGCTCACTCCCTTCTATTGCAAAGCATCGAAATTCATTTAAGGTATGACGATAATTTTCAATCGAAAGATGAAGATTCCAACATTTTATTTTGTCATTTCAGTCACGAGATTCCGATTGCATCAAATACCACAGTTTTTACAGACCTAAATAATTGTGTCTCAATGATTCACACCAATAATAATAACTTGCTTCCCATTTTACCAGCAAGAATGGAAACAAAACGATTTAAGTGGCAAGATTAATGACTCGATAAAAGCAGGAAAATAATTTTCGATTCGGTCAATATTCATTAGAAATAGTCACATTCAGTTCCCTTTTAATGCTACAAATAATGTTTTAACCATATAAGCAACAAAGAACCATTAAGTACTAAAATAATACTGTACATTTTCAATAAGGCGGTACTTAAGACTTAGAATGGATTTGAAAAAAAGTGGGTTATGAACTCTTTTTTGACACAATCTCCTTTGTGTAAATGAAATAAAAATAAAGCACCAAGCAAGCCAAGCCATGCCCAAGAAACAGAAATTCCGATTCGATCCATGAACTCGAATCATTGGAAATTTGACCATGAAAAAAATGTGTGTTAGCCAGAATGGGCTTTATTGTCATTCGTTGGACTTGAATGGAAAGGAAACCAAGAGCTGATTGCTATCACGAAATGGTAAATAGATAATTTTATGTGAAAATTTATGTGGTGACAAAAAAAGAGTATGCCACACACATAGTAAGTCATTAATTAGTAGCGTGTGCTGAAAAAATTTCTCACCAATTTGCAATGTGCAAAAGCCTACAAGACGAATAAATTAGTGTTGCTAGAAATTGTAGCACGTTTCATTTTTGTATATCGCACAAATATAGTAGTTGAACCCCCACAAGTTAACAAACAGCTGTAAAACTGTGCTTTTTATACATTTTCAAGGTTACTTCTTCTTTTTATATGCAGATCTTTCATCTCTTAGTGACTCAGCGTTCACTTCTTTTACGCTCAATTGATTTCTTTCTTTGCCGGGATTTCTCTCTCTCTTACTTTGTTTAAGCTTGTGTCTTGCGGAATTTTGAAATTACATTTCCACATATTAGTCTTTGTTTTGCAAAATAGAGTTAATATGAGGATTAATATGGGGTCTTGAGATGATTACTATATTATTTGTCAGAAAGAGCTAATGGGTCTGGTTTCATGATAATTGATGTTTTTGAGGTTACTTTTTCGCATCAATTAGTGTTTAAAGCTCTTTAAGTGAGTTTCGTATTAAAGCTATTGGATCAAGCTTAGTTTTGTTTCAGAATGTTTTCAATTTTAGTTTTATGAATCAAATAAGAAATAAGATGCAAAAATGTTTCGCCTCAAAAGTGCGTTTAGAAGCTTTTGCATCAAAAGATGCGAAAACAAAATGACGAGATTTTGATCCTTTTTAATGCTTTCTAAATTGTGGATAACTGAGAAAATTCAAAGAAGGCTCAGAAGTCAACTACTTACTGGCACACGCTGAATCATTTCTCAAGAATTTTAAAAGCCATATTCATATATGCCCAAAAATAGCTCAATAGACAGCAACAGAAAGATACTTTCCATTCATAAATTCATTGAATATTTAAAATTGCAGACTTGTCAATATCCACTGTGCGACATTAACATCTAAATCTATGCACAATTGCCATAACTTTTTTGTTTTGTTATTTTTTATTCATGCATTGATTGATGTTTGCATTTATTTGCCATAAATTCTCGCAAACAAATTCTTTGGTTTTCACAGACAAGAAAAATTGTGAAATTTAGCGAAAAAAGCTACAAAAAAATGATTTTTTTTTCGCAAGCATGCAGCGATGTTGAAAGATTGCAATATGTATTGTAATGCGAGGTGATATTTAGAAGGCGAAATATTATTATACTTCTCAATTGTTCAATGGAAGCGGTAATGCAGAAAAAAATAAGAAATCGATGTTGCTTATTTATTGAAATTCAATTTTCTAGTGCCTTGAAAAATGATATGATGTAATTTGTTCACATTACTCATTTAAATAATTGCATATTTTATGATCACGAGCATGTTTTCAATCATAGAACTTTGATTATTGAGACATAAAAAAATAATGTTGGTTCGATTGAAAATCATCACATGATTTGTGTAACGGTTAAAATTTGAAATGTCATCGGTTGAGCAAAACGGTTAATCGGGAATCAAAAGTGAGTTGAACCGGTTAAACACATTGAATTATTTTTTTTGTTCTTGAAAATTCTATTAAAAGTATAAGATGTCTCTTGCACAACAATTAACAATCGGCGGTACTCGAAGTTCAGGCCAGCCTGTTCGTACTCAAAATGGTAAGTTCTATATTTGATTCATAAAAATCAAAATAAAGGTTTCACAAAAAACATGTGATAGAAAAGTTCAGAACAAAAAAATGATTCATAAAATTTTACTTAATTTTTTCTAGTCATGGCTGCATCTTCAATTGCGAACATCGTTAAGAGTTCATTAGGACCAGTTGGACTTGATAAAATGCTTGTCGATGATATCGGAGATGTTACAGTCACGAATGATGGTGCAACAATTTTGCGGCTTTTGGAAGTTGAACATCCAGCTGCGAAGTAAGTGATCAAAAAAGCGTCTTAGACGATTCATAAACTGCATTTACTAATTAATTTATCTATCTACTTTTCAAAATATAGAGTATTAGTTGAGCTTGCTCAATTACAAGACGAAGAAGTTGGAGATGGAACAACATCTGTGGTAATTATTGCTGCAGAACTGCTTAAAAATGCAGATGAGTTGGTTAAACAAAAAATTCATCCAACATCAATCATTGCTGGTTATCGTTTGGCATGCAAAGAAGCTTGCAAATATATAAACGAGCATTTAACAGCACCAGTTGATGAATTAGGACGCGATTGTATTGTTAATTGTGCTAAGACATCAATGAGTTCGAAGATTATTAGCGCAGATGCTGATTTCTTTGCATCTTTGGTTGTTGATGCTGCACAAGCAATAAAAATAACTGACTATAAAGGAAATCCATCTTATCCAATTAAAGCAGTCAATGTGTTGAAAGCGCACGGTAAATCTGCTCGCGAAAGTACGCTCATTCAAGGCTATGCTCTTAACTGTACTGTTGCATCACAACAAATGCCGAAGAAAATTACCAATGCAAAAATTGCATGTTTAGATTTCTCTTTGCAAAAGACAAAAATGAAATTGGGTGTACAGGTATTAATTACTGATCCTGAAAAACTCGACGGTATTCGTGCACGAGAACTTGACATTACCAAAGAGCGTATAGAAAAGATTCTCGCAACTGGCGTTAATGTTGTGCTTTGTACCGGTGGAATTGATGATCAATGCTTGAAATATTTCGTTGAGAAAAATTGTATGGCTGTACGTCGTGTAAAGAAATCTGATTTGAAGAGAATTGCAAAAGCAACTGGCGCATCATTCTTGACATCACTCACGAATATGGATGGCGAAGAAAGCTTTGATGCATCAATGGTTGGAGAAGCTGCTGAAGTCGTTCAAGATGTTATCTGTGATGATGAGCTAATTTTGATCAAAAATCCAAAAGCAAGAACTGCTGCCTCGATTATTTTGCGTGGACCAAATGATTTCTATTGTGACGAAATGGAACGTTCAGTACATGATGCATTATGTGTCGTTAAGCGTGTTCTTGAAGGAAAGAAAGTTGTTGCAGGCGGTGGTTGTGTTGAAGCTGCATTGAGCATTTTCTTAGAGAATTTTGCAACATCATTGAGCTCTCGCGAACAATTGGCAATTGCTGAATTTGCCAAATCATTACTCGTTATTCCAAAAACATTAGCAGTAAATGCCGCCAAGGATGCAACAGATTTAGTTGCTAAACTTCGCGCTTATCACAATTCAAGTCAAACGAAGAAAGATCATGCACATTTAAAATGGTATGGACTTGATTTGATTGAAGGTGTTGTTAAGGATAACAAGAAAGCAGGTGTTCTCGAACCGTCGATCTCTAAAATCAAGTCGTTGAAATTCGCAACAGAAGCAGCAATCACCATTCTTCGAATTGATGATATGATCAAGTTAAATCCAGAAGAAAAAGGAGGCAGAAGTTATGAAGATGCTTGTGCCGCTGGCGAATTAGACGGTTAATTTATTTAACTCCTTATTTTACATCTCATTTTAATTTAATAATATTTTGTTTCTTTCGCAATGTATTACCTACTTACTAGCCTTTCAAAGAGATTTTTAATTCAATAATAAATTGTTTTTTTTTTCCTTTCATTAAATTCATGCTTTAACCGCCTAATACCTAAGCAAATTTCCTTAATTCACCACTTTTTTTGCTAAATTAACTTTGAACACACATGAATTGCATTGTAATAAAATAAAAAAGAATTTTTTCACAAAATCAAAAGCATTTAGCGTTTATTACTGTATCTGTAGTTTTGTAAGTTATTGTATGTTTATCTTTAGTAATTGCTGCATTATAGACAAATTCTTTAAATTTCTGATAAACGGTTGTTCAAAAATTGAAATATTTTCAAAATTTTGAACTTTAATAGAACCGATAAGTTTTAAATTCTTGAAAAACGTTAAACTTTGAACTTCATAAATCCGTTAAGTTCTCATAAGACAAAAACTATAATTAAATTTACAAAATCAAGTGTGTCACAACGAGAACTCGTTCAGAAGAAATCTAGCACCTCGGTCAAGCACTGTCAATTTTCTTATAATTAAGTTCGAAGAGAAATATAGCAATCAATGAAAATAAAACCATTCTAAAGCCATAACAAGCCTGTAACAGTACAAATAGCGAGCAACACTTCCTACATGTCGTAAATTGAGGGATTTCAAAACTCTAAATCCAATTAATATAAATTATTGAGAAAAAAAAAACAAATTTACACGACTGACACTTAAAAAATGGCACTTTTATGTTCAATATATGTACAAGAGACTTGACCTCACTTACAGCTCATAGCTTTTCTTTTGTTACAAGACTGTATCTTGTAATGTACAAATTACAAATCGATAAGATATCTTAAGCTAGTGGGCTACTTCATATACTCTATGTCAGTTATTGAGAATGAAAGAATTTATGCTTCACACTGCATTGATTTATGCTTTTTGATCAGTGCCGCAAAGAGTTAAGCCACAAAAAGTCATATTTTCAAATGCTACTCAAGTAAAAAAAAAAAATTAACGTACGAATTAGGAAAACCACAAGCTTGGCATGTAAACAAGCACTGAACGTTATTTGCTATTGTTAATTTGGATAATTTACTTTCGTATTCATGCCTGTATGTTCCAACCACTGACCTTGACAATCAATTTTTTATGCTGTACACATTTCATTTGGCGAAATGCAATTCAATTCCGAGATGTCATTTTTTTGCGCGCCACAGCAAGTTGCCTTAATAATAATTTAATGGTAAAATGTTTCTGCACCCAAATTGAGCATTTATTGGATATTTCTCAATACACCTTGTTATGATAATGATCAATAAGCAAGCTTTAAAGACAGAAATAAATATTATACACAATGATATTTAGAAATCATCGAACTTTAATGCTCTATTGCAGAGGTTTTTTTGGCATCATTTGCTTTACAATGAATTGCAAAATTATTCACAACTTTATATACTCTAAAAGCATGAGAGTGCATGTGTCAAGATGTGGATCTTTCAAATTTGACTTTTATTTCCTTCCTGAATCTTTTGATACTTGAATATATCGGAAGAATTAGCCAAAATACTTAAGAGTTGCTAGTCTTTAAGTTTGCATATTCTGCCAATAAAATGACACGTTATCCTTTGTAACATATTTCATTATTGCTTTATACTTGAGTGAAAATTAATGGCTTGTAAAACATAATAATAAACAACGTAATTGTTGTAAATTGAATTTTTTATTGCTTATGCAGTTTTTATGACCAACTGCTTACTAGCTACTACTAAAATGCGACCATGCACCGTGAAGAATTTTGTGGCATTTAGGACTTATGAACGTAAAAAGATCACATTATTCATTAGAACTCAATTGAGCTGGATGTCAAACAAACTTTAAGATCCAGTCAACGCCATTTAGTCATTATTTTCCATAAAAACACGTTTGATCTTAATTAATTGAGTAATTTAGCTTAATTCTAAATAGATCTACATGCGACATGGGTGTCCTTTTCTTCACAATAGCTTAATAGCTGCAAAAAATCGTACAATAACATTATTTTTCATGGAAGTTCAAGTCAGCATGACTCTTAAAGCGACAAAAAGAATTTTAAACTGTGTTAAATAACATTTTCATGCACGTTAAACATTTTTGGTTGTGACTGCATGTGTAGAGCATTAACTTCCGAGGTGCATGATCTCAGCTATTTTCGATGACCATAATAAGAAATTTGAGGGAGGGTCGAATTGTAATGGAAACTAATGGCTTTAAAAACCTTTAATTCTCTTATTTATGTATCACAGCAGTAAGTGGCTCCATGATCCAATTAAATAGCCATCTCTGCAGTCTCACATAATTCAAAAATTAGAATAGGTAACAATACGTCGATCATTTCAAATAGTAATTTGTATTTACAGGAAAATGCACTTCCGAAGTACAAAAGCAAGGTTTTAATATATAGATTTCTATTCAAAAGCACTCAAGGTAGCTTTTTTTATGTCAGCTAGTTCCTCCTCATTTACAAAAGTGCTTTATAGGTAATTAAACATTAATTTTTTAATGATGGATATTAATTTTGTCGTGTCAAAATCAAATCAGGAGAATTCAAAAATTAATTAAGATTTTTTTCGCATTGAGCAAACCACATTTTGACATTTTAATTTTGAGCATTTATGACTAAGCTATTCAATCACTTATTGGCTGGCCTCTTTACCGCATTCATTTATTCATTCTTTGATATGATTTTTTTATGCTTTAAAAGAATTTTAATGAAGGTATTGCTTTTTAGATTGGATTAGAGCTGATAATATATTGATTTTCATATAGCACCGAGTAAGTTGGATTTAAAGATAATCAATTATGGTCATAGATCATGTCCAGTCAGTAAATAAATATTCACAGATTCAAAAAACCAAGAAAAAGTAAATTTGAAGTATTAATTTTAAAGAATTGAAAAATTACCTTAAGTTTCTTTGAATTCTGTGATTTTTTGAGTTTACTCCATATTGTGGCTGTTTTACTAACTTTGTTGATGACTTTCCACTGGTTTGTGACTTGCGATAGCACGCAAAAACTTAAATTTCAAAATAATAAATAATTCTAAGCCTATCGAGATTTTTCAACTCATATTTTTCTGTCAGATTTCTCAAAACAACCAAAAAACATTTAAACCCAAAACCAATATTAAGTTCCTTCCCAAACACCATTAGTCACCTGCTACCCGCTTTTTACTTTTGCAATCCGAGAAAATTTGAGGTGATTTATACACATATGAGATAAATTAAAACACATTAATTCATAGCTGCTGCCTCACCGCTAGCTAGCAACTGTAAAAGTAATACCTATAAACATTTTATCAACTTTATACTCACTAAAACGATCGATATTATATTTCAAATAGCAGATATCTTAAATTGAATGCCTACAAATGCAATAAGTCATTATAATTTTGTCATTAATAGAGTTGTATTGAATATAATATTGATTACAATAATTGTGCATTTTATTGAGACATCCAGCATGCATAAATCACATTAAAATTGATTTTTAATTCAGAGATAATCAATTATGTCGAGTGATGCATACAGCATAGCAAGATTTATGAGATTAATAGACGTATTGACAGCAAAACGTGATCTTGGCAGCACAGTTAATAGAAAGATCCAACAAAGTATCAACGAAAGGTGAAAGAAGCATTAATCTTCGAACTGTTGAATCTTGATGAATTTTATGCTTCATTTTATGATTAATCACTAATTATTACATTACAGACCAGCAAGGAGCCACGAAAATTATGTAATTTCTACTTAAGACTAAGCTTAACTGAATTTTGAAGAAAATATTCAGTTTGTCAGTTAAATAATTTCCTGATGAGTCTTGCATAAGTCAAAGATAAATTTGTTAAACTATGCACCTCCTATACATGCATCTGACCCGTACTAAAATTCGTTATGGTGTTGTACCTTTATCGTGTAAGTTGTTGTATATTAATTAAGATTAATGAACATTTAAAAGTTTTAAATACTTCATAATATGTGTGAAAATATTGAAAGTAAGTGGCATCTGCAGAAGTTCCCGTTTTGTCTTCACATATCTATGCCAATACGTGATTACATAAATCTTCTTGCTTCTTTTATTCGCGAATATGCTGAAGAGATAATTGTCAAGATGAAACAACAGAGAAATATTTTTTTATGCTGCAGAGAAGATCATTGCAATAACTTAGCGATAATAAAGCATGTATTGCTTATGCAACAGAACTTCTTTCTTTTTTTGTGCATTACTAAGATACACCCAAGAAGATTAGAGATGATTTTCATTAGTCTGGAGATTGAAGCATAAAAAATTTGATTTATGCTTTGTAGCTCTAATTCAAAATTTCAAATCTGTTAAAACTTAATTTAGCTTTTAAAGTTGTTGGAGAACTGAATTATTCAAACATAAATGCACTACAAACCATGATTTACCAAAATCTCACAACTACCATTATCGTAAAACAATATGATGACGTTTGAAGTCTCTTTTTAGCCATATCCATAAATTAAAGCAAATTCATTGCAAATGAAGATTTTCAGATCCCATTAAAGCGATTATGCACTTTAAACATGAGAGACAACAATGTAAAGTTTACTAATTTATGTTCCTCACTTCATCGTGGAATTTTTCTTCGAGCACATGTTTTATTTTGCAAAATGCACTTTATGGAGAACATGTTGAATATTTTAATGAAATTTATGTCCTTATTGAAAAGTCAAGAATGACAAATTCAGTATAAATTTATTGTGAAAGTTTATGTTAATCAATTTTATTTATGATTCACTGGATGAAGCATAAAGTAACTGCCTTTAAATATTTGAATTCAACCGGTAAAGTTTACGTAAAATTACGTGCGTTTCTATTGTTTTCATGATTTTAGACAAGTTGGTGCTCTTTGTCTGACTGGATCTTGATTAACATCTCTAATAATAGTAATTAAGTGTTTTGGATAAGGTATAAAAACATCCAGTAAAGAAAATAAAACCCAAACATAATAATTATTTTCAAATCTTTTAAGCTTAACTTTGTGGAACCTAATTGCACAAAAATCAGCGCTCAAGAAAACTTTATTCTTTTTGTGTTAATCTTACTTTGCGGATAAGACAGCAATAATAATAAGTTGATAAAGTGCTATTTTGTTTAGTCTATAAACTGATCTTCTAATAAGAACACAAATCACATAAAGATGTCGACAAAACTCTTACAAAATCGTGGATTATCAAGTGTCTTGGCATCAAGATGCAAGTAAGTCATCTAGCTATTATTTTATCCATTTATTTCCATATTTGACCTTAAAATGACCGATTTTTTTGTTATCTAATCGTAATTTTACTAAATCTCATTTATTTCTTAACATGCTAATAGCTCTTGGTGGTCAGCTGTACAAATGGGTCCTCCAGATGCTATTTTAGGAGTTACAGAAGCTTTTAAGAGAGATACTAACCCAAAAAAGATCAATCTTGGAGTCGGTACGTAAAAAAAGTTGCACTTGTTTGTTTTGTTGCACATTTGTTGCATCTGTGTTGATGACACGATTCACTTCTATCACGTTTTTCTGTGAGCATTTATTGTACACAAACGTTATCATTTGATTGCCTTATTGACAATCAAAGTCTTATATGACCTAATTCATGATGTTCATGATGTTTATGCGTATTTCCGAATCGGATGAGATTTAATTGTTAAGCTTAAGATTTATTTTAATCCTAAGGATAATCATTTGGTTCATAAAAAGCAAAGCCGGCGAAATAAATCCAAAAAACCATGTTTATAAAGATTGGATGAATGCCACATTGTCAGTCCCTTAATACAAACTTAATTGACGATAATTTTCATATTAATTACTTACTATATGTTGATCATGCTAAATGATCGTGATATATATTTTGGAAGTAATGCGTCGTGACGTATATGTAATAATTATTTCACTTTTAATACCTTAGGAGCTTATCGTGATGATAATGGAAAACCTTTCATACTTCCAAGTGTTCAAAAAGCCGAAGAAATTATGGCAAAAAAAGCTTTAGACAAGGAATATGCACCAATTTCCGGACCAGCTGATTTCTGTAAATTGAGCATTGAATTGGCACTTGGCGAGAACAGTGAGGAATTGAAGGCTGGATTAAATGCAACAGTTCAAGGAATTTCAGGAACTGGATCTTTACGTGTTGGTGGAGCATTTTTGTCAAGCTTCTTTCCTGGAAATAAGGAAGTCTATCTCCCAGCTCCATCTTGGGGAAATCACACACCCGTAAGTCAATATAGGCAAAAATCTCACAGCTAAAGCAATAATATGCAACTCTTGTTTATAGATTTTCAAGCACTCAGGATTAAATGTCAAGTCCTACAGATATTACGATCCAAAAACATGCGGATTAGATTTCCAAGGAGCTTTAGATGATATTTCTGTAAGTTCCTTCCTTGAACTTGTTTATTTGCAGTATTATCACTAACGTCACGAATTGTTTATTGTTATTTACTGTCTACTTCAGAAAATTCCTGAACGCTCTACTATTCTCCTTCATGCTTGTGCTCACAATCCAACTGGCGTAGATCCAACATCCGAGCAATGGCAAGAGATGTCAGCATTGATTAAGAAGAAGAATTTGTTCCCATATTTTGATATGGCTTATCAAGGCTTTGCTAGTGGATCAGTCGACAAGGATGCATTTGCAGTAAGATTATTTGTTCGTGATGGTCATCAAATTGCACTAGCACAGAGTTATGCTAAGAACATGGGACTTTACGGTGAACGTGCTGGTGCATTCTCATTAATTACATCCAGCAAGGAAGAAGCTGATCGCACTTTATCACAATTGAAGATTCTCATTCGTCCAATGTACTCAAATCCACCAATTCATGGTGCTCGTATTGTCAGTACAATTTTGAGCACACCAGAACTTAGATCTGAATGGCTTGGTGATGTTAAAGAAATGGCTGATCGTATTATATCCATTAGATCCAAATTGAGATCAACTTTAGAAAATCTCGGATCAAAGAGAAACTGGCAACACATTACTGACCAAATTGGCATGTTCTGCTTCACAGGCATGAATGCTGAACAATCGACAAGATTAAGCAATGATTTCAGCATTTATTTGACAAAAGATGGAAGAATTTCAATGGCTGGAGTTACAACAAAGAATGTTGAATATTTAGCTCATGGTATTAATGAAGTCACCAAGTAAATTCGTCCACAAAAGTATCTCTCAAGTCACGCGAATTTAGATTAATATGGAAGAAGTTAAGGCATTTTGAATCACTCGTATCCCATCGTGCATTTATTTATTAATGCATTTCATACAAATTCAGTGACATTGTCAAAATTCTTGTAGACTGACTTTCCAATGTCTAGCACTGAAAGTTGTTCCTTATTATTTATGTTAATTATTATTGTTTAAATCTATTTTTTATAATGCACCTAATGTCCTAATCTAATTGGGATGTAATTTTGCAATGCACACTCTTAGTGGAACTAAATTCTAATGTTGATGCTTTTGTCTTCTGACAAATATTTAAGAATGAAAAAGTCTTGTGAAAATTACTTGAAATATATTAAAAAGAAAGCTTAGAAAAATTCAAACTTTGAAGTTTTATTTTTAACGGAATGAGAGGAGGGGGGGGGGGGTGTTTGTAAGAAAAAAAATTAAAGAATTGAATTTAAAATCTCGTTTATTTATTACTATTTACTTGTTTTTCTGTTTTTAATTTAATTTTTTCAGAAGAGAAGAAAAAATTTGTGTGCGAATGCTTTTTACAGTGGTTGTGTGAGCTTTTTTTTCACATTTACATTTAAAATTATGCAAAACGTCCGCATTTTCGATTCTATATATATAGATGACATTTCTGATGGAATCTTAATTTATTCATATTTCTCTTTTTTAAGGTATATCCATTGTTTTGTATTATTTCAATTCTCATAAAGTTAAATTATGAATAGAAAAAATTGTCTTATCCAATATCAGCAAAAATATGTTAATAAAATCATTAATCATAATGAGGGTCGTTTACAAATGACGTTCATCACTATTCAAAAATTCCAATTTTTATTTTATCTTCTATCTCCATACACTCATGAACCCCTTTTCTTCTTGAACATCATTTGCAAACATACTCCACTCTAAAGTAAACGTAAAGAATTTTTAAAAATCGTAATTTCAATTTCTTTTGAAAGTTTTTTTCAATTAACAACTAACAACTAACGTTTTTGTTTAACAGTTCAAAAAATCTCATTTCTTTCTGTCCTTCCTTAACTTTGTTTTTCACATTGAAGTTTTATCAATTATCATGTAGTATGAATTTTATGGCATTTCCTTTATCAATATTCAAATTAAAAACTTTGTTTATACAGTTTCATCAAGGTTGAATTGGATGTTTGTAGCAAAAGATGTGTGGATATAAAATAGTTTAACAAAGCACGCGATCAATGATTATTGCGTTGAGTTTATTCTCTTTTGGCATGCAAAGTTGTATTTGAAACTTATTTTGAGGTTTATTTTTTGTTTTTGTATTACAAACTGTTTACGTCTATTATGTCAGAATACAACTCAAATACTTTTCCATAATATTGCTTCTGTTTGGCTATCTTTGTTGATGACTTTCCACTGATCTGTGACTGGTTTTTTAGATCGACAACTCAAAATTTGAAAAAATTAACTTAAATTTTATAATATTTACATTTTGGCGGTAAAATTGAACTTTATGCTTGATACTTCATCTATGATCGTTTGATAGATTTTCCAAACACAAAAAAATCTTAAGATTTAAACCTGGTAAGCGAGATTAATCACTTACTCCATTATATCAATATTTCCACCACATTTGCTCAAATCCAATCAACCCAAGCTATAGTAATATCCAATTTACATGATTCATTTTCCAATTCTTAATTCCTTTTAAATGAAAATTTTCTTCTTCTTCTGCTTAATGAATTGTATAAAATTATGAATTCAACAAATAAAAAATAATAAAAAGTCGTTATATGTGATGATGGGAGGTGTTTTTTCATTTAGGTACTATATTTACATGAAAAAATGATTAGCATCAGAGGATTTGTAGATTCCAACTCTTCTGCTTTTATGTCCTTACTAGAATAGATTAAAAATGTTTTTTTTTCTTCTCATTTAAAGATACTTAATGATATCAAATTTTACATTTAATTTAAATTTTTTATCTCATGTCCTTAATCAAGTGTGTGTATGTGTATGATTTACTCCCTTAATCCAATATATTAAATTTTTGCCTAATTTACTTAGAAAAAAAGAAGAAATTTTTTACAAATGCGGATCAAATAAGAGTCTTAGGTACTCTAAATTTAAGAAGAAAACATTCTTTTATACAACACTGAGCAATTAATTCAATGGCTCGATAGCTGATTAGGTGAGAAAAAAAGTTCACGGCGTATAAAAATTCGCGCCGAGACATAAAAATTGCCATTTTTATTATTTCCATAGACTTGAATTTGATTTAAAATATTTAAATTTATCGATAATTCTATTGATATAATCTCTCTGATTCCCGCGTGAATGCATTTGATGAATCTAAGATATTACCGTCAATGAATCCATAATTCTCTTCGATTTGTGAATCATCGGCCAACTCCTTTATATATTCACTCTCACAATCAGCCTCAAGACTCTTTACTAAATTTTCATATGCTTCTGCACCATTATGCGTCCTTATCTCCTCTTCTTGCATTTGAATTTCCTCAAATTGTCCATTTAGTTTTGTACTATCATCATCGCCATTGATTATTTCTTCAACTTGACTATCTGACTGTTGTGATTTCATATCCTCGTCTGTTTGGATATAAACGAATTCTGAGATATCTGGTGTTGTCGCTTCCTGTTTCTCTGCATCTACTTGCGGTATATTTTCAGCTGTAATAGTTAACATTCTAGTTTAAAACTTCAAGAATTTAACGGTTTTTTTAAATTCAAATTTTAACGGCTTTTGTAAAATTTAAAACACTAAAGTTCAATTTCAAAATTTTAAGAAACGTTAAAAATTTAAAATCACAAATTACTTTAGCTTACCATAAATAATATTCGAACTAGTTTCGATTTCGGAAGTTTCAATAATAATATTTTCATTGCTATTTTGTACAATTTCCTGTATGCTCTCAGAAGAATCATCTAAACGTAGCTTCTTTGCAACCGTTCCACTACTTCCATTACTATCAGAAAAGCGTTCTTTGTGCTCTTTCGTCCTATTCGCATCATCTAGCTCTTGTTCCCAATCTGTCGTCTCCTTACTAAGTTTTGTACTCTCAATGGTTGTTAATGTTGTTGGGGTTGTTATTTGTGTTGGTGTTGATTGAATTTGAACAATTTGCGATGTATTTACAACAGTGAATCCTTTCGTATTAATATTCCTCTGGATCTTTAAATTACTGGGTAATGGACCTTTAAGAATTTTCGAATTAACAATGCTTCCAGGTCCTAATTTCAGCTTTATTTGCTTCGGTGTCGTCACTGACTTTTGTATAATAACTTTTGGAAAACTTGTTGCAGGAACGGAGGTTGTTGAAACTGGTAGGAAATCAATTGGAGTACTTTCTGTGATCCTTTGATTCTCAGGTATTCTTTCATTGCTTGTCATTGTGTCTGTTGATTGTGAATCCTTTTGTTGTTGCTGCGCAAAAGTCCGATCGATTGTTTGAACAATAACTTTAGGTCCATTGCCAACAACTTTTGTTCCGCTACTTAAAATCGTGTACGGTGATTTAGTTCCAACTTGATAAGTATTTGTTATTGATTTTCCACTCAATACCAATTGTCCCGCCTTTCCACTCACAATTGTTGCTGATGGCGATATATTTGCTGTTGTACTTCCATCTTGATTTTTATTCATGACAAGTTGTATTTTCTGAATTTTGAATTTTGATGGCGTTGTCGTCGTTTGTGACACTATTGTTTGTGGGGATTGCTGTGATGATAATGATGAGGATGACGTTTTTACAGCCTCAGAATTTTGAGGCTTATTAATAATTGGTTTTGTACTTGCCGGAATAATTTTAATAGCACGATTCTGAATGACTTTTAATGATGAATTCGGTGTGGATGTTGACAAAGATGGCAGTTGTGCGACACATGATGTGGATGGCTGTGTAATAGTTTGCGGATTATTAACTGGTGATGTGACTTTTAATTTTGGAGTACAACTAGCTGCCGTCGATAAAAGTTGAAGAGGTGAGGTCATTGATGGAGTTAATTCATTATCACTGTTCTCGATAGGCATTGACTCAACGACAACTGACGACGGTTCCATTTTTATATTCATATTCATATTCATATTCGTTGATGACATTGTATTAAATATGATTTGTGGGTCTGGTATGTGATCCATATTGTTGTTATTACCACTATTAACTCTTGAGCCCGCACCATTTGCTGAATATTTTGAGTTGTAATTGCTTTTGGATGGCACATTCATGCTTTTTGATCGTCGAGAAGATCCTGTTGGTGCAACATGCTGTTCTGGTAATAATTCATTTTTTAATCGATTGTTCGGTATATAATGTGGCTGTGGTTCTAGCGACTGATGATTCATTTTGAGTAGATTCATTTCCTTCTTATTTATCGGTAATGGTTGTTGATTAAAGGTCAATTTTAAGGGTGGTGGTGGCATCAATTGTGCTGTTAAATGTCTCTGCAATTCATCAAAATGCTTCTCGTCTGAAGATGACATCGATGTAGGATATGAATATTGCATACGATTTGGAGATTGCTTTGAGTTTTTTGTTTTTGATTTCTTTGTGAATGTTTTTCGTGAACGCTTCGTGTTGAGGGTCTGATATAAATGCTGTATTTTCATATTCGGAGCAGGCGGTGGTTTAAGATGATGATAATGTTTCTTCTTTGTGTGTGGATGTAATGTCACTAAATCTATGCTTCGTTTTAAATCTTTTCTGCTAATGCCAAATATAGCTGGGGTTGTTGTTGACGGTTTTGTTGGATCATCAAGCATTATTGGCTTTCCTGTGATTTCTACATCTAAATTTCTTTCACGTTTAGTATCAGCTGGTTCTGGAAGTTCAAAGTTTTCTTGTGATGCAAACTTAGACGCATGATCTGCAAGCATATGAAGTGCTGTGTATGCAGGCGCTCGACTTATTAATGGATATGAACGATGTCCTTCTCTTGTCCATTCTAAATCAAACGTTTTGCCATTTATACTGAAATATTAATGAAATATATGTCACTATGAGTCGTTTTAAATCAATTTTTAATCCTTACAGTTCCGATATTGTTGTTAATTTTTCATTATTTGCAACTCTACGAACTTCGGCTTTGTGGCGATCTTCTGAGATATGAAAACACCTTCTTAATTGGTCTAATACGCCTTGTTTGCTACTGTCCAAACACCCTTGTGCTCTAAATGTACTCACAACACTAGAATAAGCTTCAAGTTCTGGAAATTAATTAAAATATAAGCATTATTAAGTTTTTTGTTTTGGCTTTGCTTTTCAATGGATGATTTTCTATTCCATTTTATTTTTTTATCACTCTACTGACCTAAACGTCTTAGAACGCCTCTGCATTCGTCTTTTGTAAGGTCCACCTTTGATGGAAACATATTTTTAATACACTTGGACATTGAATAAATCAGAAATTATTCAAAATTTATTTTTTGTGTATAGCTCCATAAATAAAATAGGGCCTTGCTTGCTGATTACGGTATTCGGTTAACTGAATCCGATCGGTTAATGCTCTTGAATAATTTAGCAAACTGTTTTTATTCCATTTATTCTGTAATTCCATTGATTTTCTTAACTGTTTGTAATCTTTGGATTGTTTACTAATTTGCTGCTTAAAAATTCAACGGCTTTTTGTGCAAATTTTTGAATAAATTCAAATTTTATTTTTAACGGAATTTTGTTATTTTGCTTCAATTTTGTTGTTTAATTGCATTCATTTACGTTAATTAACGAGCTTGTTGATGATTCTGTAATGAGAAAATACAATAATTAATAGAATCAGAGTTGGAAAATATTATTCAAATGTTGCTCAAAGTTGCTCAGTTTTAGATTCAAATTTTTAAATTTAAAAGTTCGTTATTAACGAAATTTTAAATTCATTACCTTCTTAATTTAATAAATGATTAATTATGCTAATCTGTAATGTAATTTATGAAAAATGCATCAAAATGTGGATAATTTCTAGAAATATGTCACATCCAATTCATTATTAACATCAAATTTACCTAGAATAATCCCCCAACATCACGTCAACAACTGATTAGAATAATGAATTCATTAAGTCAGGTACATCAGCAATTGTATAAATACAAAGCAAGTTACAGATTCTAATGTCAGTATTTCTTTGATCTAGCTTCAAAAAACTAAGTAAAATGAGAAGTTTAAGTAAAATAATTGTGCTAATTATCATTGTTTATGGAATCTGTGAGGAGCTACGTAAGAAGATTAGTTACAAATTATTTGTGCTATAATTATGTGAATATTTTTTCGTCTATAATTAGCGAAAGGAATAACAACATGCAGTAGATCCGATGAAAATTTCAATAAGTGCTTATCGAGTGCCATTCAGGAAGCTCTCGTTATTTTGAAGGATGGTATTTATTTAAAAAAATAATAATATTTTTGGCCTTAAATTGATTGTCGCACACATATAGGAAGTCCAGAATTTGATCTACCGAAAATTGAGCCATTCACGATCACACAACATACAGATTCGGAAGCAATTGGTGCTACTCCAAATTTCTATCTCAAATCATCCTTAAAAAATGCTGAAATTCGGGGATTAACGGCCGGGAAAGTCTTAAGGACAGCAACAAAATTTGATAAAGGCTATAAAATTAAGATTGAATCGGAATTCGATAAAATTTCAATAATCGGAAATTACACGATGAATGGAAAGATTTTGGTACTTCCAATAAATGGAGAAGGTGAATGCAACATAACATTTGTAGACACAATGGTACGCGTTGAGTCACATGGTAGGTATTTAACTAAGAATGGTGAGACATACATCGACATCCAAGAATTTAAGATTAAAATCATTCCAAAACGTGTCTTGTACAATTTTGAGAATCTGTTCAAAAATGACAAGCAATTAAGTGACACAATAAATTCAGTCATGAATCAACAATGGCAATTGGTTACTGACAATTTATTGCCAGGATACGAAGAAAAGTTTGGTGAACAGCTTATCGGAGTTTGCAATAAAATTTACCACAACGTTCCATTCAATAAGATTTTTCGAGAGTAGAACTGAAACTAGTTTCTACAAATGATTTACATCTAATAACACTTTTTTAATTAATTAATGATGTGTATACATTTAAGTGTACATAAAGAATGTTAATTATGAATATTTATAACATAAAATAATAAAAATCTGTGCGATGCAAAATGCACATTTATTGTTGGAATCAAATTTTGTTTTCAGCGGTTTTGTAAGATTTGAATTTGTAACGGTGTTGTAAGATTTGAATTTTCAACGGTTTTGTAGAATTTAAATTCGTTTTAATTAAAGTTCAAAAATTCAAATTTTTTAAACTTTTAATTATGATGTTCAAAATTTTAAACTTCTGAAAACTGTTAAAATTCATCCATTAAATCATTACATATCCAGTCAGTCAAATTAAATGCACTGATGCATAAAAATAAAATTGCACAAATAAACAATTTTTTAAGTTCCAAATAAATTACTCGGAAGTATCGAATGAAGTGTGTTGATAGAATTATGAAGAATACTGACCATAGAAATTTCACAGTCAACTAGAAAATCAGCAAAAAGACTTGCATTGTCATGTGACACGCTGATAACAACAACAACTTTATCTTGCAATGTATTTCGTTCTACATTTATCGATTCCAAACGTCGATCGCTAAGCATTAAATTTGTATATGGCAAATTTATTGATCCTCTAATATGCCAGCGTTTATAGTCATTTTGTGGTCGCAAATCAAACACAACAACTTGATTCGGTTTTTCTTTCAATAAATAAATCAAATTATTAGCACTGATTCGCGGTGAGATTTCTTTCTGAATATCACTCAATTCTATGTTAGTAATATCAAATATTTCCAATTCCTCAGTCCTCCACACATGCTTACGATGACAGATACTTTTTGGTGTCTTTTCGTACATTTCATCTGCTGCAATAACACACGTATCCATAATAATATCAGGCAAGTCTGAGAACAGCAATATACATTCATTAAAACCAGCCTCTCTTAGTGTCGACTTTAATTGCTTTAAAATAGCAACGCCAATAAAAAGTGGATATGATGAATCGCCGATTAGTAATCGATCCCACAAATGTAAAATTTTATGAAGTGGAAAAACGTGTGAGAACATTGTCAGCACCCATGGAATAGCAAATAGTTCAGGAATAAAGCTGATTGTGTTGAGATGTTTTGACAATGCTGGCTCATGGAAAGTCACTAATTGTGAGAATTTTGTTAAATATTCCTTAATTATGATTGAGTTGTCTTTCAGGAAAAAGTTGTGTAGATATTTCGGTATAAAATTGTAGAGAGATAGAAAGGCAGTCTCTTCATCATTAAAATTTGTCACTAGAAATGGTGCTGTTAATGAATCAAGTCCTTGCCAATAGACATATTGTGGATGTGATGTAACCCAAGCTTTCAATAGTCTTTTTAACTTATAATGTCCTGTTGGACTACTTAAAAGCTCATCATATTGATGACATCTCGGTATATCCACTTCAATTTGTCGATCAGTCTGATTTGGAGTGACTTTATCGACTTTTTCATACCTTCCCGTTGGAATCACATTTAGTAATGCAGCCCAGATCTTTCCTCTTAAAAACGGAGGAATATCTTTTTTAGCTTCTTCAATAATCAAGTCTCTAGTGTATGGATATCCTTTCAATAATCGTGAGAATAAAACGACTCTGTAAAATTGATATTCAATATTTCTCTCGCGTATCACTAATGGTAGATTTCGCATTTCAGCACCAAAATTGTATGGTAGTCGAGGACAATGAAGGAGTGGATAAAATGCACGTTTAGGAATGAGTGCTAATCGATCTGATAAATTCTTTGTATTAAGGATGACAACTCGCTGATCAAAAAGTGAACTTTGACTTTTATAATTTGGCATAGACTTACTGCTTTGCAGGAGAACTAATCGTGGAACTGTCAAAATTGGAGCTTCACTTCTTATTAAGCCTTCTTTCTTCAGTTCAGAATGGACATCTCCACCAGTTAATTGCCAAAGATAGTAAATTTGAGAAATTTCAAGTCTTTCCATTGGTGCTAATTCTCTAATACCTTTTTTATGTACTTTAAAGGCAATAGATTCTTGATGGTGTATGAAAATTGATGAATTGAGTATTTCATGACATGTCGGACGATTCTTAGATTCTACAGCCAAACATGACTCCAAAAGATCTTTAAAATCACTATTTAAATTATTATAAACTTCTAGGCAGTTATGGTCCCTAGCTATTTTCTCAAGAACAGATCCAGTAGTCGTACAATAGCTTAATATCTTACGAGCAATAATTGGAAACTTCAAGTTAGTCCATAGAGATATTCCAAATACTAATTCAGCTATTATCATACCCAAGCTCCACACATCACTTTTTGGGTTTCCATTATTCCCTAATATTCTTTCTGGTGCTATATATCGAATATTACTTCCAATTGGGAATGTTACGTATTCCTCACAATCTTCATCTCCTCGAGTCATGTAATAAAATCCATAATTAAATAGCTTTACATTGTGCCACTCGTCGATAAGAACATTTGAAGGCTCGAGATTATGATGAACAATATCATTGTTGTGTATGAAACTTAATCCAGTCATGCATTGATAAAATATTTTCAATATATTCTCGTACTGGATGTTTTTGTTGGATGTTTCATTTAATGAAGATCCATAATATTCGCTAATGACAATCGTCCTTTCTGTGGATAATAAATAGCATTAGATGTGTTTAAACCATATCTTAGAGGCTTACCATGCTTCCCTCGCTCGATATTAAGGTATTGAGTCAAATTATCATTCCGAAAAGACTTTAAAATTTGAAATCGACCAAAAATACTAATTGAATTAGCTGTTAATGGCAATCCATTCGATGAAACTGCTTCATTTTGCCATAATTTAGCGATGAACGTAAATGCCGATAACTGAGAATTGATCTTTGACACAGCCGGACTCATTTATTTAATTAGATTAATTTTTTTGATGAAACTTTGTTGATGAGATGAAAACGAACAGTGTTGGAAACTGGAAAATTGACTGAGTTAATTTATTGCAAATCTTAGCTTATTCATACTGATTCATACCTTAAATTCACTCACTGTGTGTTTTGAATGAAGTAAACTTGCTTGGACTGACCGAAACTGGAGCTGAATTTCGTACTTTATCCCACAAAAACAATCGAATATCCAACACTGGATTCAATGTGAGTGATGTTACCTAAACTAGCACAATTAAGAATAGCCCGATGCTGGATCATAAATGTTTTGATGCTTAACATCCTAAAACGTACAACTGCTTAGCTACAAACTGATCTAATGGATTAAAAGTGTCAGAATTGTCAGAAAGCAACAAATCTGGTTTTCACATGGATTATAAAAATCGTAACGTTTAAAAAATATTTGAATCGGAAATAAACAAAAAAATTTTTTTGTGAAAATCACCGATATTAAGGAACAAAAAATGTATAAATTTTATAATTATGAGGAAATAATCAGACGAATACGAAGAATAGATGGGAAATTAACGTATAGGAAGCTGTTTATCATTATAGTATTATCATGTTTGTTCTTTTTGTGGATTATTTCAAGATATTTCTTCGACTCAAAGAAAATAGAAAGAGGTAAAATTTTATATCGTGTAATTTGACTAGTTTTACTGAAATCACTTAATAATACCACTCTATTTACATTTCAATCAAAGATACACTAAGTACATGTATAGATGATAATCTTTCGGCACGAATATATAGTGAGTTTGATAAGGGTAACTTAAATATTTATGGACTAGAAAGTAATATTGGACTTAAGGACATTCCTTATATTGGAAACGGAATCTTTGGATTGGAAGTCAGTCAAGATGCTTATTTAAATATTAAAGAAGGTCGTGCATTGCTCTTAGGCTTACCATTTGCACCAATCGTTTCTGTAGCAAAAAATCAAGAGGACGTTAAGGAAATATCAATAGTTGATTATGTTAATGGATTGGTCACGAGATATCAATGTTATGAAGACTATCAAGTCAGGTACAAATATTATGCACATCGTAACTATCCATCAGTGTTTGTCCAAGAGATCCAGATTAAAAATAATCGGAATCAAATTATTGATCTCAACTTAGTATTACCTCGAATTATTGGCGATTGGACGACTGCCACATCACAAATAACAAAAATTCAGCATGGATCAAAGATTGTTGACTATGAAGTGATAACAGGACATGTAAACTCGTTTATTAATGGAAAAATTCGCGTTGTGTCGATTGTTCATCGTGTAATTCCGAGATCTCTAACACTTAATAAGCGCGGTAATACAAATCTTAATCTATTGACTACAATTAATTACTCAAAGCCAGTCTCAAAGGATCAATTGAAGCAACAGAAAGAGATTGTTGAAAAATTTGCAATAGAAGCAATGAAGAAAGTCATAGAAGAACATTTAGGTGATGATGTGGCTGGAGATGCTTTATATAAATTCCGCAAACAACATACGAGTATTTGGAATAATTTATGGCAAACTGGATTCTATATATCCACATCTAAAGCTGAGAATGCAATAAATGGTGATAAAATTAATTCCACAATGTATCATGTATTGTCTCATGCTAGAGCTTATGAATTTGAGGAATCCATAACGCCAATGCGAAAGAATCAAATTTTACAAGATCTGACTTATAGTGAAGGGTGTTATGACAGTTATCATACACTTCAAGCTGAAAACTTATGGAAGCCAATGACGACAATTGAAGAAGCAAATGCAGTTGTTAAGAGCTGGATATTGACAATGGAAAAGCAAGGCTGTCACAATCTTATTAAAGCTGGTTCTAGTGGCATTGTTCAGTCAATGGTTTTATCGTTTGGTGGCTTCCGATTTAGCAATCAGCATTTAGAATTTAATATTCATCCAAAGTACTTACATCGTGACTTTTCATTCCGTCGTTTAAATTATGGAAATATGACTCATGTTAATATTACCGTTATGGTTCGTGATGATAATAAGGCACAAATTGAAGTTTCTCTTGATCGTTCTGATCGAACATATTATGCTTGCGATGCAGGCTGCTTAGACACTCCAGTTCAGTTGAGTCAAATGACACGCGTTTTTCCTGTTAAGCTTACAGAGCCACTCACTTCCGTTCTCTACATAACGTCTGATAAGCAGCATATGGAAGACTTGAGACATGCTATTCATGTTAAAGAAATTATTGAAGCACCAGCACATGAACATCACTTGCTTCTCCTTCATAGACATGGATCTAACTTGGGTGGACTTCCAACATTCTTTTGGATAGCTATTTGTGCAATTATCGTAATTTTTCACGTGTTCTTGTGTAAATTAATAGTCAAAGAGTACTGCGATCCTCCAGAATTAAAGCGCTATAGATACAGCAAACCTTAATTAAAATGTACTTTTTAAATGAGCGCATAGTAAATTATCAAAATAAATTTATTAATGAATTACTGTATGATTGAGTTTCACTTTTTAATAATTGTAAATAGTTTGAATGTTGATGCAATAAAAATATTTTAAAGTCGTGAGTATTAAAAAACTTTTAATTCTCTTTTCATTGAAGTTTGCATGAAGCTTTGTTAGAAAGTTGACAGGTGTTGTACAGGTGGAACCAGGGTTGCAAAAACATATTATGTTTTACAGAATATGCGCATATATGTGTCATATTTTATGTGTGACACATGAAATTATGTCACACATTTTACATGTTCACACATTTTTTTCTGCAATATGTCAAACATATTTCCTGTCAAACATATTCATGTGTCACATATTTTCCTGTCACATAATATGTTTTTCAAACATAAAATATTTTTTTATAAATTTTTGATAAATTTTTGATTTTTCGGTCTAAGTAGGGTGACCATCTGCGTAGTTTTACAACGGACAGTCCTGTATTTCAAAACCCTGTCCTGTATAAATTTGAAAACTTTGTTCCAGGTCCTGTATTTTTTTCACGAAAATTTCCGTTAATTTTCGAATTTTACTCTATGTCCTGTATTTTTCGAAAAAATTTACCAAAAGTCCTGTATTTTCATGAAAATTAGATGGTAACCCTAGGTCTAAGTTTGATAAAATTTAAATTTTATCAATTTTGGACCTTAAGAAACCTTTCCTGTTATTAAAAAATGAGCAGAAACAATTGGAAAATGATATTAATAAGCAGTAAAAAATGTTGTTTTCACTCAATATTATAAATTTTTTGATTTTTTTTTGCATTAATGATATGCTTAAAGTCAAATTTGATAGAAAATTAATTTTTGGACCTTTTTAATCTAATTTGGATTCCAAAAAAAAAAAAAAACGGGAAAAACATATTTTATGTTGAAAAACATAATATGTGATACATAAAATATGTGACAGAAAAAATATGTGGACATATGAATATGTTTGACAGGAAATATGTTTGACATATCGCAGAATAAAATGTGTGACATAATTTCATGTGTCAAAGGAAATATTTTTTTGACATGTCATCACATATTGCAACCCTGGGTGGAACTGACATTCGAACAGAACTTGGTAGTAGTGTTAAGAACAAGGTTTTAAATTCAGTCTTTCCCCTTTTTGTTTACGCCCAAAAAGGGTGATTAAAAATAGAATGTGGCCTTTTTATTACCACGTTTTTTACCACGTTTTTCTTAACTTGCTTTCTTGTCTTTCTGTCTTTCTGTTTGTCTTGGTCAAATCTTGCAATCAATTTTTCGACCACTTCTACTGCTCCAATCGAGCTGAAATTTTGCATGCACTTATATTTCCGATGACAATACAATATTTTAATACTTTGGAAACACAAAAATGCTTAATTATAGTACAATTTATGTAAAAGTTTTTTATATGGGAAAAAATCCAATGTCAATGATATAAAATTTTGATTTGTATTAAATATTATACATGTGATGCTCTAAAGTCATTTATATGATTCATTATAGTTTAATTAATATTACTAATTATTAATTATACCATAAATTTGAGCAGCTAAAGATATTCTGGTAAGACAAAAAAATTGACATGTAATTTTTTCATGAATATTCGTAAGTGAAAATTTGAATTTTCAAAAAAACCGTTAAGCACAAGTCCGTTACGAATTAATGCAAAATAACTATTAATATGCGATGTGCATTTAACACACATAATTTGAGCATAAATTTATGCTGTTTTAAATGTATTGCATTATTTATAACACTTCACCAACTTAATTAAATTGACTTTTCTTTTTATTAACGGCTTGACGTATTTTTGCATAACATATAAATGATATTCATTGAATTTAAATTTGAAAATCCGTTATAAATACGTTACATATGTGATTTGCATCTTTATAGTAAGAATCCACACGTTATGAAGTAGAAATGGTACAGATAAACACAAAATCTTTACGAGTGATTTTTAATGTACTTTACTAATGAATGCTTTAAAAAAATTAATTTTTATAAAACGAATGAAAAATTTTGAAAGTCGTTACTAATTTCCCATTGAAAACTGGTAATTTATAAACAGTTGAACGTAACGGAGTGAAACGAAGTGGAGTTCAACACACCTGTAACCTATAAACCTACTGTAATCTATAAACAGTTGAACGTAACGAAGTGAAACGAAGTGGAGTTCAACACACCTGTAACCTATGAACCTACTGTAATCTATAAACAGTTGAACGTAACGAAGTGGAGTTCAACACACCTGTAACCTATGAACCTACTGTAATCTATATACAGTTGAACGTAACGAAGTGCAACGAAGTGAAGTTCAACACACCTGTAACCTATAAACCTACTGTAATCTATAAACAGTTGAACGTAACGAAGTGCAACGAAGTGAAGTTCAACACACCTGTAACCTATAAACCTACTGTAATCTATAAACAGTTGAACGTAACGAAGTGTAACGAAGTGAAGTTCAACACACCTGTAACCTATAAACCTACTGTAATCTATAAACAGTTGAACGTAACGAAGTGCAACGAAGTGAAGTTCAACACACCTGTAACCTATAAACCTACTGTAATCTATAAACAGTTGAACGTAACGAAGTGCAACGAAGTGAAGTTCAACACACCTGTAACCTATAAACCTACTGTAATCTATAAACAGTTGAACGTAACGAAGTGTAACGAAGTGAAGTTCAACACACCTGTAACCTATAAACCTACTGTAATCTATAAACAGTTGAACGTAACGAAGTGCAACGAAGTGAAGTTCAACACACCTGTAACCTATAAACCTACTGTAATCTATAAACAGTTGAACGTAACGAAGTGCAACGAAGTGAAGTTCAACACACCTGTAACCTATAAACCTACTGTAATCTATATACAGTTGAACGTAACGAAGTGAAGTTCAACACACCTGTAACCTATAAACCTACTGTAATCTATAAACAGTTGAACGTAACGAAGTGAAGTTCAACACACCTGTAACCTATAAACCTACTGTAATCTATAAACAGTTGAACGTAACGAAGTGCAACGAAGTGAAGTTCAACACACCTGTAACCTATAAACCTACTGTAATCTATAAACAGTTGAACGTAACGAAGTGTAACGAAGTGAAGTTCAACACACCTGTAACCTATAAACCTACTGTAATCTATAAACAGTTGAACGTAACGAAGTGCAACGAAGTGAAGTTCAACACACCTGTAACCTATAAACCTACTGTAATCTATAAACAGTTGAACGTAACGAAGTGCAACGAAGTGAAGTTCAACACACCTGTAACCTATAAACCTACTGTAATCTATAAACAGTTGAACGTAACGAAGTGTAACGAAGTGAAGTTCAACACACCTGTAACCTATAAACCTACTGTAATCTATAAACAGTTGAACGTAACGAAGTGAAGTTCAACACACCTGTAACCTATAAACCTACTGTAATCTATAAACAGTTGAACGTAACGAAGTGTAACGAAGTGAAGTTCAACACACCTGTAACCTATAAACCTACTGTAATCTATAAACAGTTGAACGTAACGAAGTGCAACGAAGTGAAGTTCAACACACCTGTAACCTATAAACCTACTGTAATCTATAAACAGTTGAACGTAACGAAGTGCAACGAAGTGAAGTTCAACACACCTGTAACCTATAAACCTACTGTAATCTATATACAGTTGAACGTAACGAAGTGAAGTTCAACACACCTGTAACCTATAAACCTACTGTAATCTATAAACAGTTGAACGTAACGAAGTGAAGTTCAACACACCTGTAACCTATAAACCTACTGTAATCTATAAACAGTTGAACGTAACGAAGTGCAACGAAGTGAAGTTCAACACACCTGTAACCTATAAACCTACTGTAATCTATAAACAGTTGAACGTAACGAAGTGTAACGAAGTGAAGTTCAACACACCTGTAACCTATAAACCTACTGTAATCTATAAACAGTTGAACGTAACGAAGTGCAACGAAGTGAAGTTCAACACACCTGTAACCTATAAACCTACTGTAATCTATAAACAGTTGAACGTAACGAAGTGCAACGAAGTGAAGTTCAACACACCTGTAACCTATAAACCTACTGTAATCTATAAACAGTTGAACGTAACGAAGTGTAACGAAGTGAAGTTCAACACACCTGTAACCTATAAACCTACTGTAATCTATAAACAGTTGAACGTAACGAAGTGAAGTTCAACACACCTGTAACCTATAAACCTACTGTAATCTATAAACAGTTGAACGTAACGAAGTACAACGAAGTGGAGTTCAACGCACCTGTAACCTATGAACCTACTGTAATCTATAAACAGTTGAACGTAACGAAGTGCAACGAAGTGAAGTTCAACACACCTGTAACCTATGAACCCCCTATAATCTTTATTTCTCAATTTCATTAGAATAAGACTAAAAAGTTGAAAATAAAATACTTTATAAAAAAAACTTTTTAAAAAAACTACGTTTTTCGCGTAGACTAAAAAGTAGAAAATAACTTTTATTCTTGGTTGTAAAGAATTTGGTTTTTAAATTTTCAGATTATATTTAATAAATTTTTATATCCTAGTCAATATTGTTCACAAAGTTTCGAATAAGTGCATTTTGATCTTATCGTATAACTCAACAACTTAAAAACGTGGGCGCATTATAAGAGGAGAAATAAGTTTATGTGAAATCAATACTTTATGATAAACTTAAATTAATGCGCCCACGTTTTTAAGTTGTTGAGTTATACGATAAGATCAAAATGCACTTATTCGAAACTTTGTGAACAATATTGACTAGGATATAAAAATTTATTAAATATAATCTGAAAATTTAAAAACCAAATTCTTTACAACCAAGAATAAAAGTTATTTTCTACTTTTTAGTCTACGCGAAAAACGTAGTTTTTTTAAAAAGTTTTTTTTATAAAGTATTTTTTTAAAAAAATATGTTCACGTGTACAGTGTGGCAGAATTCATATGTTGGCAGATAATATATGTCACATATTGCATATGTGCACATATTTTATGTGTTATGTGTGCACATATTTGATGTGTGACACATTATTTTGTGTCACATATGAAAATGTGTGATGTGTTACACATATTTATGTGTGTAGATATCATGTATGAATATGCAAAATCTGCACATATTTATTAATGTGCGGGACTAAAGTGATATTTTTTATAAAATTTATTTTAAAAAATCATTGATACACAACCGAAACAGTCAAATATTACATAAAAGAGGAAATTTTGTCGAAAATATGTTCATCAAACTGTAATTTTAAACTAATTTGACTATTATTATTATTAATATTATTATTTTTATTTTTATTATGGTCCGTATTAAAATTAAAGGACCTTTACTTTTCTTTTCGCTTTCAATTATGTATAAAGGAAAAAGCACTCTGAAGAAGTACTTAAACTTTTCAAAATGCATACAAAACCTTTCATAAATTGATTTCTTATTTACAATGCTCTTTTTCAATAGTATTCAGTATAACATAGCTAGTGTAGTTCAAATTTCATCGTATAAATTTAATTCTTTTAAAAATAATTTGACTATATTTGTTGGAGAAATGAAGATTAAACCAAGAATCCAAATAATTTGATGAGCTTCAGTTATGATCGAATCTTTAATAGTAAAACTCGTGTCCTTAAATCACTTGTAAATCAATTTTTAGTCAAATTTTCCGAAATATTTTTTTTTTTCGATATTTACGTCCTTCAACGCACCTCCATCTGCTGAAATATTGCTGCCAAAAACTGTTAACATTATTCAAATTAATCATGAATGAAATTGTCTTTATGAAGAGAAATTATATGAAAGATTTTTTATATTCACACCGTTTTCACGTGTGAATCTATTGGTTTTGTTCAGATTGAAAAATCAGTTTTTCGCATTTTGTGAGAAAACAAAGCAAAATTGGTTATAAAAGGTCAAGAAGAAAAGTTTGTGCCTGAAATTTTACATCATTTTCAAAAAACAGATTTCAAATTGGTTGTGGCATTGCTGAGAAAATCGCAAAATACGCTTTCTGTAAGCAAACAAGCAAGCAAGCAAGCAAGTTAATCAGCAAGAAATCTCAATAACGAGACATCGTAGAGACTTCTAGTTTTTTACATTTGATCCGTGCTGCTCTATAGAAGAGCCGTATTGTTTTTGGGCAAGGTAGGAACAGCCGTTGCTTCAGAAATGGCAAAAAACTTTCCTTTCTTACGAATTTTTTAAAACAAAAGTTGACTGTGATTTTTATAAAATTCAACTTTGGATGAAAATTTTTTTTAAAAAACTTTTAAAGAATATTTGGCATATTCGTCAAGCTTTATACCTTCAAACTTATGCTGAGCGTAGCTCAGCTGACTCGATAGCTTTATATCTTCAAACTTATGCTGAGCGTAGCTCAGCTTACGCGATAGCTTTATAACTTCAAACTTATGCTGAGCGAAGCTCAGCTGCCTCTCTAGCTTCATATTTTCAAACTTATGCTGAGCGAAGCTCAGCTGACACTCTAGCTTCATATCTTCAAACTTATGCTGAGCGTAGCTCAGCTTACGCGATAGCTTTATAACTTCAAACTTATGCTGAGCGAAGCTCAGCTGCCTCTCTAGCTTCATATCTTCAAACTTATGCTGAGCGTAGCTCAGCTTACGCGATAGCTTTATAACTTCAAACTTATGCTGAGCGAAGCTTAGTTGACTTATCAAGCTTCATACCTTCATACTTATGATGGGCAAATCTTGGTCTATCCATAAGACTTATGATAGTACGGTGTGAATATAATCCGCATTGGGTTTCTACCCGATACACTAGTTTTTTTTCTATTTGCGTAAAGAATTGATCTACATAAAGATTGTGTCTGCGTTACATAAATTCTAGAAAAGATTCTGCATTCTTCCTCTAGTGTAGACATCTCCATTTGCAACGCTGATTGTAAGTTTAATTTTAATTAATTAAACATCTTGGAACTAATCCATAAATTTTATATCCCACTAGTAGTGTGAACCCTAGCTACAGAAATAAAGCTGAATTAAGAAAAATATTTCTGGTATTTCAATTTCAAGCGTGTTCACAAAATAACGCCCTTAAATCCGCTTCAAGACACACAACTATAAAAGAATTCTAATTGATTTTTTCTGAAAATTAAATATTAAATACATGCCAAATTTGAATTCATTTTTTCATTAATTTTTGCTTTTTATTAAGTTCGCGATCTATATTTTTAATTATTATTATTATTATTTTTTCATCATTTTTATTTTCTTTTTGATATTGTTACACAACTAAACTATAAGGAATAAATTTGAGGGTTGCACATGAAATTTCTTAAAGAAATTAAAACAAATAATTTAGTTAAAACACAATAATTAACAAGAATTTCTTTAATAATGAGATAAAAACGAAAACAAAACTGTTTCACAGTTTTTATTAAGGAGTGAAAAAGAAATTGTTTTAATTAATTTTCATAAATTGTTTTTTTTTTATAAAGTTGAAAATAGCTAAAGTTAAGTAGGTAAAAATGTAGAATATAAAATCATTATATCCATCATGATTTGATTAAATCGAGTAGATTAATTGGGAGAGAAATTTCATTCTTCTAAATGCAAATTGATTGGTTAAATTACTTTAAAGTTACTTATCCTTAATTTATGTGTTTTTTTTCGAATTAACATTACTTCTCAATCTTAATCGGAAATAAGAGACAGACTTTTTGGCCCTAATAATAGTCTTCACACGAAATTATATTAATTGGTTAATTAATTCTTATGTTAAAATTTTTTTCTTGTAGCATAAACTTTTGGTATTTAACGAGAATTTGAGTACATTTTTTTTCGAAGAAGTCTGGAGCATTTGGAAGCTGAGGTTTTATGGGTTATTTCAAAACTTGCTTGACATTTGAAACTGAGGCAATGCTTAACATTTCAGGCAGTGTGGTCACCAAGATACAAGATATCTAGGATTGCTTAAATTTAAAGGAATACTTTTGACCAATTTATTTTTAAAAGTGAACAATTTTCCCAATTTTAAGTTTTCTCATCCAGTCTTCATCAAAAAATGTACCCTGATTAACTCGTGTTGGAGTTACAATGACATCATATAAAAATGAAAAAAGAATTTCATTGTAAATTTAGTCAAAAGAACAACTACTAAATGCTTTCATCTTACTTAATGCAACCAATAATTTGCTATTAATTTTATTCCTGCATAGACTTGGAAATTTGAGGAATGGAGTGAGCATGTGATGAGTATATTTTTTGTGTATGATCGACTACTAGCTTCTTTACATAGTCTCTTTTTCCTTTTTTAAAAACATTCTATGACTAATTTTCTTATCCAAATTTGCCCACCCATTGCTAGTTCCTCAAATTTTCACTTACAATCTAAGTAGGATCTTTTTTGCATTAGTTTTTTTTTTAATTTTATATCCACAATTTCAATAAGAAATGGTAATAAAAATTACTAATTTCTACCTTTTTCTTTTAACTTACGACAAGTAACGTTTTACAATACAAATAATGATTAATTTTTTCATTTAATAAAACTTAGTGTTAAACAGACTTTTTTATGGCAATTCATTTCATTCTCATTTTTTATCTAATTTATTTTCTCAAAAAGGAAAAATTATTATTACATGGATTTTAGTTTAGTTTTTTTTTTTAATATTATGTCCTTAATAGATACCTAATACAGTGATGATAATGGTGAGTTTTGTTTTGTTTTGTTGAAACCTTTCAGGGTGATTTTTTGGATCTATTTATGACCTTGCTAAAGGTTTTCAATTATTTTAGTCAAATTGAAACCCAAAGAAGAGATCCTCACCCGAACTTGACATTCTTTTTGATCCATTTTTGCAACATCCACAAAATAACTCGAAAAAACTTTAAACTTTAATTTTCCTATCAGTCAAACATTCTTAACTTAAACGAGCTTTTTTCTAATGTTTTATTGTTGACGCAAACTTAAAAACGGTTCAACGGGCAGTGAATGTGTGGTATGAAAGAATATGCAGCAAGACTTTCTTTTTCACTAAAATACAATGCTTTTCGAGAAATAAAGAAATTATTTTTTTATCCAGACTTTTTCAATAGATTTACTCATTCCTTTTCATTTTTTGAGTTTACTAATTGTAAATTTATCTTATTTTCTGATTATTCAAATTTGCCTACTAATATATGTGTATAATAATATAATATATCTAGTTTATCAATTGTGTGTATAGTGTTAATATTCTATTTTTATGTTATTAAAAACAGTCTCAAGATTTTTTTTTTCCTTATTGAATTCATCGCAAAATTTTTTACCTAATTTCCACTTCCCAAACAATCCCGATTCGATAGTTAAAAAACACCAATAAGTAGTTTCGATTATTTGATCATCATTTTTTTTCTCAATATGTAATGTAATTAATATTGTATGCTTAATTTTTTTTCCTCATGTGATAGGTTATATCTTAATATAAAGAAGCACTTCCAATTATTATTCAAATAAAACATATGCAAAGGAAGAAAGAATTTCAATTGGATATTGCAATTGTTTGGTTTGTGGAGTCTCGAGATGATCGATGGATTTATCGAGGATCTTCTAGAGGACTTTTTGCATGACATGATTTTTTATGAGCTGATCTAACTAGTTATTATAAGAATTGCAGACTTAGCTATTCTAATTGAGTCTGATTTACTTAATAGATGTCTAGTCTCAACAGTTTGAGGTAACTTGACATTCAAACATATCAATATTGAATCAACTGTTTCTGTCTTACGCTTATGGTGTATTCTAGCTTGATGTTACTTAAAAATTCAAAAACTGCAGAATTTTGATTTATCGTTTTTGCTGTCACAGTTAAAATTCAGATTAATTGATAAATCAAGTCAAAACTAGTGACAAAACTGTTGTAAGTTCTTGATTTTTGTCAAATTTTCATAGATTTATCTAGTCTAATCTAGTAAACCAAGTCAATCTTATTCAGATTCTAGTCAATCAATAGATCAACAGACTACAAACTAGATTTCTGCAATTTATTTTCCTCAAACTTTTAAGAATTTACTTCTTAATGCTCATAAGTATGCAATAATCCCAAAAAACTCTCATCATCCTCCAATCATCTTTTACTCCTTGGGCTAGTTTAGTCATTCTGTGTTTAAAATTATATCATCATTCACATTCAAGTAACGATAAATAGTCTCTATATATATTATCATTATTATATGTCTATTAAATTGTTGTGTTATATGCTTATTTATTGTTTTTTTTTAATCATTATTATGTTATTAATCATTTCTCATCATCTTTTCTTCACTTTCAATGTTTTAATAGAATTTGTAATAGAGTGTAAAAGAAATTATATATTTAACGCCTTTACATTCATCTCATCATTTCATTTATTGTAATCTTTGCGACTCTCTGTTTTTATAACTCTCTGTTATCATTAAATGCATCCACTTTTCATATATTCCTGAGAATCCTGTGATCATTATTTTTTTTCATTTATTAAATACACAATAACTCAATTATCTTTCTCTTTTTGTTATGTTATGAAAAAATGCTCACGATTAATTAAGCGCTTCTATTAATAATTTAACTCATTTCTTTAACTGGATCTAATATTTCACCGGGACTAATGTTTACATCTTAGTTCTTCAAATTGATTTAAATATATGTATGTGTGTCTGATATACCTTTACTTTCGTTCATTACGATGACTTGGCATACTGGATGACTGAACTGATGCGAGCCTGCGATTTTGGCGCTGCAATGTTTGACTGGTTATCTTTAAAATACAATTTACGTTTTCTTGGTGGTAATGTGTTGTTGTCTCGATCAGCCATAAGAAGTGAGTCGCTATCGGGTGACGATGAGCGATCAGGTGATGATGATTCTGGAGACGATCTGGGTGGAGTTAGCTCGAGGGCAGCTTCGACGCATCTTACGAGATTTGAAGGTCTGTGTTGGAGAAAATGAAAATAATTGAGTAAGTTTGAGATTAAGAGTAATCTTAAGGAAATATTCAAGTTGATCAAGAAATAATACTCACTTGTAGTCATTGGCTTGTTGCATGTTTGAAGCACCAAAGTAGCCATTGTTCCTCAGCAGACTCATGTCATAAACATGCTGTGATGCATTCTGTTGCTGTTGAATTGGCTTCAGTGTGATCAAATTTGGATTATTAGCAGTATGATTACTGCTACTGTTGGAGGTAGGTGTAATTGGTTGTAGAGTAGCTGACATTCCATATTGATTAGCAACATTTTGTTCAAAACGCGAATACATATTAATATAAGTAACATCATCACCATCTGAATTCTGCTCACTGCTCGCCTCAGAATCCTTTGGTGTGTCTGGATACATTGATGCTGATGGAGGCGTCGACGATGCATTAAGAATTGAAAATTGTTCAGCAAAGTTAATTATATTTGATCCCTCATTGTTTTCATATTTTGTTACAATCTGATGATTTAGTGGCAATCCATTTGGCGATGGAGTTGCTGATGACGATGAATTCGATGGAGTGTTTAATAAAATACTATGTTTGGTTTCATTCTGATGAATCGAATTCGGTGATCGTGCAATCATCATATCATCACCATTCTCATCTGACTGAATATCATTGGCATGGCCCTTTATGTGTGCCTCCATTTCTTTCTTATTCTTAAAAGTCTCATCACATATCGTACATTTGTAGCATTTCGAGCCATAATGTTGCACTCGATGGAGCTTCAGTACATGGTTATATCCAAAATCACGCAGGCAGATATCGCAGTGATAAGGTTTTTCTCCTGTTAAATAAATCATTAGTGATCTTGTCAATCAATTTTGTTAATGTCTTTATCTTACCTGTATGGGTTCGGGAATGAACTTTCAATTGTTTACTGCAAGTGAATCCCTTTCCGCATCCTTCTTGAGGACATCTATAAGGCTTTTCACCTGTGGATTACATGTGTATTAGATTTTTTTAATCCACGTGCTCTATGTTTTCAAATTTTACCTGTATGAGTACGGAGGTGAATAACCAGCTGTCCCGACTGAATAAAAGTCTTTTCACATATCGAACATTTGTGTGGACGTTCTCCTGTGGATTTAAAAGGAAATTATTGCATATTTTTGAATAATAAGTTGAAATCGTTTAAACTTCCAATGACTTATCAATTGATCATAATCAATAATTATAAGAACATCTGTACACAAAAAAGTTCTTAGATGATAACAAAAGATTGACAAGACATGCAGATTGAAATTAATTAAAAATACTCGAGATAAATAAAAAAATTTCATTCATTTAAAGGATCTTACCTGTGTGAATTCTCATATGACGATGCAGTTTTCCACTATGTTCAAAAGCTCGACCGCAAACGTCACACTGTTTGGTAAAAAAGAAAAAAAGAAAACAAAATCGTTAGTAATGAAATTGTATTTAATTTCCTGAGTAGACATACGGTTTGGTGCTTTAGAAAATTGTTTACTCAGGTTTTTTATTTTGACATTGCGCCACATTTCGTCCAAAAATAGGACAGCACGTGAATAGGCAATAATATTCAAAATAAGAGCATCAAAGGTAAATTTTGTCAGGATTTATTTCCTCAAAATTCGCTTTGGATGTCCTTGAATTTTATAGAGAAAAAAAATAAGACAAGTTCCACTTACTTTATACGGCCGCTCTTTCGTGTGGATTCGACTATTTAGAAGAAAAAATTAAAAACAAAAAAAAATTAAAAATAAAATTCCCCAAAAATTTGTAAAGTCACAAATCTTACCGATGGACTTGTAAATTTTCCTTAACACTAAACATCTTCTGACAAAACTCGCACTGATACGGACGTTCCCCGGTATGAGTTCGATAGTGTCGTACCTGCAATTAAAAAATTATTTTAGTCATTTGCTATCAAGGCAATCATTCGTAGAAGGAAATTATTATTTTTTAATTTTCTTAATGACTTTAAAATCTCTCGTGTGTATGTAGACTTGCTACACATGTCAAGTGGTTTTGTTGTTGTATTTAAAAAAGCCGAACATTTTTTGACAATTTTATTTTTGCACACTTAGTGAATATGAGAATGTAGTAGTATGGAGCTATTAGGAGATCTACTATACTAGTGATAGATAGATTGTTGCTGATTGGTTCACGAAAACTTTAAAAATGACGGCTTAAGGCATTGAGAGACTTGACGAAGATCGTGAATTATGAGGAAGGAACTGAGATTCACATCCAAATAATTCTACATCTTTCGTCGACAGCATCTCAGAATAGCTAGGATTATTAAATAATCTATCAAGTAAATAAGACTTCAAGCTAGTAGTGCAAATTAAATTTCAAAACATCTAGAATATTTTTCATCATATCAATATCGCACATCGACGAGAACAGAACAGAAGAAAATGTTAACATCTTCTTATGTGATGAAATTCACCACAGCAAGCATGCTCCGTCCAGAACCCCACAAATGTTTCATTCTGTACTAAATAAATAAAGACTTGCACGCGTTTCTAATTCTGTTATTTAACGCTCATCAATAAAGTGATCGTAAATTAATTAAGGCACAAAAAAATAGACGAGTCATTAAAAAAATTGTCAAAATAATTTTCAAGCATTGTTTTATTTATGCAGCACTTGATATTTTTTTTTTCACTTTCATTTGAGAATATCCGGAACTTAAAATAAAAATTAAACTCACCAGTCTTGCTGGCACGGCAAAAGTCTTTTTACATACGTCACATTGATATGGATCTGACGATTGCATTTGCTGTGTTGCATTAATATTGCTGGCATTGCCCGATTGCGAATTAACTCCTTGCTGCTTGGCATGCGACTTAATGTGACTCGTGTGAGCACTCTTTGTCGTGAATGTCATATTGCATTGATCACATTTAAATGACTTTGCCAATTTTGGCGTTCGGACTGAGATGGTTTGTTGCGGAAGTACATTTTGCTGTTGCACTTGCTGATGTTGATGATGATTTTGTTGATCACTCGACGTTAATAGTTGATACGTATAGTTATTTTGTTGCTGTGATGGCGATGCATCTCCATTTGATAAATTTATTAATTGAGGCTGTTGTGGTGCTGGCAACTGTCCATTATAATTATCACTAACCACCATTTGATTGGAATTAAGACAGAGCTGATGTTGAGGAGCACCATTTTCAGATTTCATAATAAGCGGCATAGCATAATACACCATTTTTTTACGGATTTCTATTTTTTTTTTAAATTAAAAATGAATTTTTTTTTATTAAAATTATTTTTTTTTTTCACAAAAAAAATCACAAAAATTAAAATCACTGAAATTATTTTTTACCATTTTTATCACCAATTTCTTTCAGTTCCGTACCGGACTTTGAAAGAATTTCTTTCAGCCAATTTTGCTGTTGCTTATCCCAAACATTCAATTTTTGTTCCATTTTTTCAAACTTTATTTTTTTCTAATTTCTCAAAAATTGCTTAATTTTTATTGCAAATTTTCACATAACTTCCTTAATTTTTGAAGTTAATATTTTTATTTCCTTTATATCCTCGCGAATAGATGTGCACTGTTAGACTTGTAAATAACAACTGCCTAACCGAGTTATTCGAGTTGAAGTGAAAAACAGAAATGCTCAAAAAATTATTTTTTCACAGTCGAAAATTGAAGAAATACAAAAAAATTATTTTGGAAGTTGTTTAGGAACCACGAATAGAGAATGAAGAGAGAATCCACAAACACATATATACAGGCCTATGTTTGTGTAATGCACAAATATTTTTTTGTTTTTGTGGAGTTATTTTCTCGGTGATCTCTTAACATTTTTTCCCCGCATTTCCACAATGTGCTTATCGCTGGAATGGAAGTGAAAAATTTCCACAACACAAACACAAGTGTATATGATGTGTAGAGTTGTTAGGGATTTTCCTTAGATTTATTAAGGGAAGAACCAGAATTTTAAAAAATCATTTTCTGACTCAAATCACAGAATTTTGAGTGCACGTGCCGTTATTAAGCATTAGATAAGCGAAGGTAGTATTTGTATATTTTTTAAAAATAACTCGGTAAGATGTTAAACAACATCACAAAGCTGCTCGTGATGATGCTCGTAAAAGATGAGAGAGCACGGAATGAGACACAGCGATTAAGTGATCAAGAGAGACGAAAATAAAAAAATTCGAGGCACAAAATAATATAAACAAGAAAAAAAAACTAATTTTTATTGCTGATAGGTCAGTAACAGTGCAACATGATAAAATTATCTCAATCATGCTGACTTAGCTACGCCAAAAAAAATTTTAAAACTCAACAACCTTCAAATGATATCAGAAATCTTTATGTACTGCTGATAATTGTGCTGGATCATAAATTTGTCATGTTTATCTAAATTCATTTTTTGTGACTATAATTACAATTTTTATCGCCAATATACCTGACAAGTTAAGGCAAGACACAACGTAAAATACATTTTTTTTTTGTATGTCAAATAATTTTGTGCCGGTTTTTTTATTCAATTCCTTTTTTTCGCATTTTATATGAAGACAAAGTAGATGAGTAAATACATAAAAAAAAATTCTTTATCATTCACAATCCACAAGCAACGAATCGTTGGCGTTCTCGCTATTGCCTCTTTCTTGCTCTACTACATTTAAAGTCTTCGGGTCTTTTTTTTTGTTCAGCCACAACATGAGTGTGTTAGTGCCGAGGAAAACATAGGGAATGAAGAAAAAGGCGTTCTCCGTTGTGCACCTCCACGTGCCCTTTGAAAAACTTTTCTTTCAGTACCTATGCATGCTCTTTCTCTTGTCGACAATAATAATTCTTTTTTTGCATGCACATCGTATGTTACATACACAAGCATAAAAGAGACATAAAGAAAATGTATATGAATATCGGAAGCAACAACAAATGCATGAGTAGAACTATGTTGCTGGTTCTGATGCACATAATGTATACGAATGTATGTAATGGACTTTTTTTTTAAATACCACGTCTAAATAAAATTCGTCTCAAGTGCAGCAGCAGCAGCAGCTCATTATGTATAGCATAAAATTTCTTTTGTTAAAAAATCCGCTTTTTTATCAAAAAAATAAAAAATTATTACTTTGTATCTGCTGCTGTGAAAAATAAGACGTGCAATTCCTTCTTCTGATATTTATTTCTCTCTGAGTCTTCTTCTTAATTCATTTTAGACTGCGCGTGTACGATATATAATTAATTCTTAAGTTTCTTCATTCCCGATCGTAGTTGCCTTTGTACGAATATGTGTATAGAGATACATGTATATCTACTTCTTATCCTCACAATTTTTTTTTTATTTTCTTTCTTATACACGTCGAAAAACTGTTTTTGGACTTCTAGTTCCAGCTGACATGAGAAAGACTTGTGATAATTTATATACATCTGAATATTTTTTTTTTCTTCTGTAGCTCGTGTATGCTATTTAATATGTTTTTTTCGAGTCACTCACTCTATAATAGCTTCTTTTGGCAAGGACAGAAGTTATGTCTTCTGAATGAATATCACGTTCCTGTATTTAAATGAGGGCCGACTAGCTTATGACGAAGAGAATTTCATCAGATTTTTTTGGTATTTCTCAGAGTTTTTTTTTTGGTCTGGATCTATTTTTTGTGAAAAAATCTGCTAGATCCGCAGGTTTACTAGGTTTCAAGTTTTAACTAGACTGGCAAAGTTTGCTTATGCTCACAATTTTAAAGTAATTGCATTGATTCCAGTACATTTTAAACCCGGGATTGAAAACCCTAATTCCGATTTTTAAAGAAAATTGGTTTGCAAATTTTACTTGAGCAAAGATCCAGTAATAATAAATTTTAGCTGGATCTTTGGTAGCACAAGTTCAAAGTTCTTAAATTACATTAAAAAAGTATCCAAAATGTTCCAGAGTTCTCCAAACCCAATAAACAGCAAAAGACTCAAAATGTCTTCATATCATCAACTTATCATGATAGCTAGTTATCACAGCATTCAAAGTTAAAAAGTACGAACCTAAGTAGTTGAAATATTAATTGCGAAGAAAAGACACTGATAACAATGTTGAGGTATGAACAGACTTTTTACATTATTCCAAAAAGCCTCATTATCATTATTTATATAAATACACATGTGTGCTATGATTGCTTGCCAATGAAAAAAATATATATTCTGGTGTGTTTTGTTGAGGGCTTGTTGATAACAAACACACAAGGATGAAAAGAAGAATAAAAAATAATAAAATATATAAAAAAAAAAAACGTTTTGAGTCTGTTTTTTTGTCGAATTTTCGTCAATTCTGCACGTAAACATGTTGTTCACAATATATAAAGTAGTGACAGTGGTCTATATAAGCGATAACAAGCTTTCTTAATTGAAAATTGGGTAATTTTATCTCAAATGTTTGCGTAAAATTATCAAGAAAAAAATTTATTTTTGCGCCTTATCATTCAACAGTCTTTGGAATTGACGATACCTCCTATCTGACTTTTGATTGTCAAGATTTGAGAATTACGTCGACAAGGCTTTACTTTCTGTTTATCACGTTCTCATGAGATTTTTGTTTTCCTCCTACATCTCCACGCGAAAAACTTTAATTCTACAGAAATAAAAACAACTCGCGATTCTAGTTGTAAACATCAGATGATGCTGCCATGCTTAATAAATGATAATTGCTTCTATCCGAACTTATTGACCAATGTTGATTAAATTTAAGCTAAAAACATTGTCCATGTGTCTTTTTTGGAATCAAAATTTACTGAAAAATCCACAAGTCTATTTAAGTGGACATTAAACAACAAATGTATGGTTTACGAATGACTAATTAAGCAGTTTCATCACTAATTCTTAGAATTTCAATGGAAATGTATTCACAAGCATAGTTTTGGATGTACATTAAAAATTATTTAAGTGAGACATGTAGAATTTTTAACGGCACGTTTCGTTCACGATATAGCTATTTATAGACCGACATTTATCAAAGTTTATAGGTCAATAAGAAGGAAAAGATTAATTTTCGCGTTTTTCATCTGTACTTTAATCCTTAGTAATAGATGAATGTTGATGTTCGGTCCAATTTCACTAATAATTAATGCTGTATAATTGGTCTATCAATAAGCTATGAAATTTATGATAATGTTGTGCTGAAAGGCAGTGGGACTGAGTGTGGGATAACATAAGTTATTAAATAATATTCAATAGCTAGTTCCATCCCCTAGATATCAAATGAAATGTCAGAATCATAATAAGTCATACAGATTCGTAACTGAATATTTGTTGATACACATAAATACTTTACGAAGTACATACTGAATAATTTCATCGGAATTAGAACTGAAGCATTTCATCTGATATTTCTATTATTACTCATCGACTTAAGAGTCACATTGAAGTACATACTTCTTTTTTTTTTTTGAAAAAAAAAATCCATTGGAGACAAATTCAATTACGATTATTTTGTAAAGGAAACAACAAAACAAATAAAGTTTCCCTAGTCAATTCACCCCACCCACCAAGCCGAACTACGATTTTAAAGTTTTTCTCTCTCTATTTGACAGTTCGTTAGTTGAAACATGCACATGCTGAATATAAATATTGTATATAATATAATTTTTTGTTTCTGTTCGCTTATGTTTAAAGTTTCTGCACCAGCGCAGAATGCAATATTGCATACCAACACTATTGTACGTAAGTTTTTTATGTAAAATTGCAAGGCAGGAAGATTAATCGATTTTTTCTTTCTCACTCTCGACTTGCAATTGAAATGAAAAATTTCAATGCAACGGTGGACGGGGTAGAAATGAAGTTTTACCGATTGCTATTGTGCATCTCGATGTGGTTGTAAGGACATAGATTGAAATCTAATTGAATTTAGGTATTAAAGTTAGTGACAATGTCATTTGGAGAAGAAAACAGGAAGCAATAAGAAGACAAGGCATGTGAATTAAATGTGCCTTCATATTGTGCCATTGTGGTATCAAAATATCAAGAATCTTGTGTGTTATTTATTAACTGACCAATCTTAACTACACGAAATTGTGCGCGAGGCACAATGAAAAGCTATTATGCGAAACCGATGCTGCCTGTGTGGCAGTAAACACGAATGCCGAAAAAAATTAATATAATTTTGTGTGTTGTTTGGAAAATTCGTTCTTACGCGAAATTTTATTTTATTTGTTATGATCTTAGTAGATTTGTGTGTGCTGATGTGTATGTGACTGATACACATACTTACATTCTTTTTTGGCAGAATGACGACTTTCAGTGACCTCTAAATATTTTTTTATATATGATTCTTCTTTCCTGTTCTGTTTTCATACACAAATTATTGTTACTTCTTGCTCATCGTAATTTCTTTTCATTTCTCTCCGTAAGCATTTGAAGCAAGAACAATTTCTGGACGGTTATTTATGCTTTTAAATTTAAATGAATCAGAAGAGGAAGTTTAAACACACACAGAATGATGTGAATGAAGAAGAAGAAGTCTCTGCTATAGTTAGCGTGCGCTGTGAATAATGCGCAAATTTTTTTTTGTGTTTTGTGCTGCTTCTCTCTTCTCACTGTCGAAAAATACGAAACGAATTCTTATTTTTTTTTTCTTCTGCTGTGTTCTGCATGTGGTAAAAATTAAATTCAACTGAAGCGTCCTAACCCAACAAAAACTTGAATATGCTTTACTAGGCATATGGAATAAAGCCTTGAACTTTTTTTTTCCTTTTCATCGTTGTCGTTATTCTTCTTGAGTATAAATATATGTATTATCAAAGAATATTTCCACTTTATATATTTCAGTTATTTTTTGATTGTGCTGCTCATGTGAGCAACCCGCTTTATTTTTAAATTGATGATTAAGCATCTTAGAAATTGTATTAAATTAATTTTGCTTCCTCAAATATCAAAATGTTAACTGTCTACATTGCCTATCTCTTACTCACTCGCTATGTCTATTGTTGTTACGGTTGTATGAAAAATTTATGTGAACCCCGCGATGATTTTTTTTCTTTCTTTCTTGGTAACTGACCTTAACCACGCATTTACGTCTTAATGGGCCTCAAAAAAAATATATTTTTTGTGTACTTTTCTTTCGTTTTCGGCTAAACATTTTGTGAATTCTAAGCATTATGATAAGTTATACGTAGCGCGTATGAGAGAAAATGCAGCACAGTGCAACACCCACTCTCATAATTTCTCGCTCGTTCGCCATTTTTAAAAAAAATCACTTACGGCTTTTTATAAAAAAAAAAAGTAATGCTGAGATTTTACCACAATTTGTCATAATAATCATCAGGATCTTCAACAGACCACAGAGAAATAAGAGAGTAGAAAGACGTATCGAATGCACCCAAAAAGTGCATTACATCGTACGTGAAAGTGCATGAAGCATCGTTAATTTTACTTTTTACAAAAACTGAATTTCACAACCAAGCGATCATGAAAAAGTGCACAACTCTCTTTTATTTTATAACTGAATATGTATGTATTTATATATTTAAAAAAATGATCAGTTGCAATTGCAACTTTTTTTTCATTTAATCGCATACATGCATGTGAAATCTACTGTCCGTACAGAAGATACATACAGAATAATTGAAGTGAAGTTAAAAAGTGTCATTACGAAGCTTTTCTTTGTCTTTGCAGGCAATAAACGCTTCACAGAGCTGAGAAGAGAAAAAGAGAAAATCAATGAACTCATGTCGGAGTCAGACAGACATTTATGAATGACTTTAAAATACTTTATGCAAAATTTCAGCTGCGCATTTTTGCGATTGTGTCTGTTTGTAATGTAATGTAAGGTTTTCCTTCTTCTTATTGCATTTTTGCAGCTCAATTCGTAATGTAATGAGTATATATCTACATCTAGTGGGATGGTTGGTTGGTGCGCTTACATTCGCTAAGCAATAGAACTGGATACAAAGTATGAGAATGTATATATAAGATGTAAATGTAAATAGCCAATAGAATAAGATCTTATTCATGACTTATACAGCTTGCATATGATTGATCTGAATCAATTTATCGTAATTAACGCACTTACAGCTTTATTCACTCCATTTTGTAGAATTGTTAAGTAAAGAAGTACAGAAATGAGGAGAAGAAGAAGACTTTATGCGTTTCAACTTACGAGGCTATCATGTTTTTGTGTCCGTCTTTAATATTAAAATGCGTCCCACTTTAATGCAATCTTTTCTCTTGCACTTCTCCTCTCTCGTTTAAATTTTTCAAAAAAAAAGTTATTGCAGCTTAACTGACTTTTTTGCATGCATCGCGTATCTTTCAGTTATTTTTTCAGTGATTTTAATTGTTGATGATGAAAGTGCAACAATTTAAAATTCGCCAAAAGGCTTTATATTAAGTTATATGTACTCACCTTTCCCTTTCGATGTGAAAAAAGAGCTTCAAAGTTTGGATTTATTTACGCACTGTATGTTTCTATATCGATGACGTCATTTGTCGAAAATGAAGTATATAATCTTTAAAATTTGAGTTTTTGCAGATCATATAATAGAATTTTGGGCTTCTTGCTTGTAGAACTTAATCAAATTCACCAAAAAACATTCACTCGACAAAATGATACGCAAAATGAGGAACGAAAAAAATCCAAATATCTCCGAAAATTCTCTAATGTAATTTTATTGACCTAGGCATAATACTTTTTTTCGTGAGGCATAAGACGAATATACCAAAAAATACACATTTACTTCCGTTGCGAGCGCCCTCTCTCACGATTATTACTTTTTTGTGTTATCGGCAGTTTTTCTGTATACTTAGTAGAAAACTTTATGATAATGTTTGAAATTTTTACAATTTACTTTTTAAATTTGTTGCATCTATCCAATTACTATTGATTTTCACTAGTTAATAAAGTATTTTTGATGATTAATATCAATTTTGCTCTCTTTCTCTCGGTTTTTTTCCTGTTTCATTCACAAAAATCTTTGCTTACTTTGTCCACTTTTTTAAGTTTCTTTTATAAATTCCTTTTTCAATAATCAAAATGCAAATATTAACTTGCACTTTATAAGCACAATTATCACTGATTTCATCGACGGTTGAACTACTACTCATCGACTACAACTTTTTTTGCCTTTTGCCAAATTTGCGTTATGTGTGCTTAAGACTACAGAATATACGAAAAATGTTTTTTTTTGTGAATTGTTAAAGGCTTCTCACTGGTTCAACTCTCCCGAAGCACATAAGCTCTACAACAACAATTTGCCTG